AGCACATTCAGGTAATCCTAGCACTATGGGAGACTGAGACAGGAGTATCACAAATTCGAGCCTTAGCCTGGGCAACTCAATGACTTAGTGAAACCCTCTTTCAAAAAAATAAAAAACAAAATATGAGCTAAGCATGCAGTGCACCCGAGTTTAATCCACAGCACCCCCCACCCCAATTTTTTTTAATCAGCTTGTCAGTCTCCACCAGTGTGCCTGTTTTGGTGAGTTGTTTGACTATTTTATTTAAATTTACAAAATTCGTTTTTTCAGGTTATTTTTAATAATCTTTTTCTTTGATGGTATTGGAATTGAACCCAGAAAGTACTGAGTTACATCCCAGCCCATTTTCATTTTTTATTTTGAAACAGGGTCTCACTGTGTTGCCTGTGGTGACCTTCAACTTGTGATCCTCATGGTTCAGCTTCCCAAGCGTGCACCACTAAGCCTAGTGTAAAATCTTTTTAATGTCTGTGTAATCTATAATCATATCCTCCTTTCATTGTGTATTGAGTAATTTATAATTCCTTTTTTTATAAGTCTTATATGTTTTTTTAATTAATTTTTACTAGGAGTCAGTTTTTGGCTTTGTTGATTTTCTCTATCATAATTTGCTTTGCATTTCATTGATTTATATTTTTATCTTTGTAATTTCTGAATTAAGATTTTGTTTGGGCTTAATTTATGCTGCTTTTTCTAGATTCTTATTTATCTATTTATGTCTTATAAGCCCCCAGAAGCATAGACACTATTAAGGTAGCCATTATTTTACTATGTCCTGATGAGTGTCTGGTTTGGTTGTGAAGTCCTTCAGGCACCTAGTGGGTTACCTGGGGCTAGGTAGTAGCTTGGATAGCATTGCTGGCTTTAATAGGCTGCTCTCTTAGTGGTTTTTAGAATTATTTGCTTCTGTTCCACGTGATCTCTCATCCTTCAACTGCCTAGCTGTAGTGTAAGAGCACTACAGTATTTTATATTGTGCTGTTTCTTGCTCTTCCTCTGTTAGCTTCAGTTGTACATACCTGTTTTTAGTCATTGTCTGAGATGTTACACATCTCTGATTTATAAATTACTGCTTTACTCTTCTCCAGATAAAGAAGGCAAGGACCTCACTTTTATTTTTGTTCTAATTTATTTAGTATTGTTTTCATGTATCTTAATCTGACATATATTTTAAACCAAAAATAATGTTTTTAAAGGACAGTTCATTTAGATTTACCTATATATTTACCACATCATTTATTACTTTATGCATTAGATCTCCCAGCTAGGGTAATTTTCCTTCTGCATGAAGATTTTTGAGTATTTCCTGCCAGTGATATATTCAGTTTTTGTTTGAAAATATCTTTTATTCACCTTCAATTTTTAAAGGTATTTCTCTGAATGTTTTAAGTTAGGCAGTTACATTGTTTCAGCATTTTAAAACCTAATTTGTTTTTCCTTGTTTGGATTGTTTTGGTTGCAAAGAAAACTACAACAGTTGTATAATTCCTTTGTATTTGTTATGTTCATTTTCTCTGGCTGTTTTTAAAGATGTTTTTCTTTGTTTTTAGTTTTCTAAAATTTTACTACAACATACTTCCTGGGTGTTTTTGTTTGCATTAACATTTATACTGCTTTGGTTATGTAGTACTCTTTAATTTGTTTCTTGATATCTTTTATTTTACAAAATTCTCAGATATTTCTTTTCAAATATTGTTTCCTCTCTATTCTCTTTTTTCTCATTTTATGATCATTATTACTTGTGACAACTTTTAATCTCATTTATCTTGTATTTGCCAGTCTGAATTGCTTATTCTTTGGTCTAGATATATATTCTGATTGCTTTCTTTTCTTTTCTTTTCTTTTGGTACTGGGGCTCGAACCCAGAACCTTGTACTGTGAGGCAGGTGCTGTGCTGCTGAACTACGTCTGTGGCCCACTCTGATTTCTTTTTAATCACTAAGTTTTCTTCAATTGAGTTTAATTTGTTGATAAACTATCTTTTGAAGTGTTAATTTCACCTTTTCCAGATTTTGTAATTGCACTTAATTTGTGTGTGTGTGGTTTCTAGTTATTTGCCACCTCTGTGTTGTGTAAAAATGATAACATGGTTATTTAAAAATCTTTGTTGTATGATGCCAACATCTGCTTTTCCAATAGGTCTGTTTCAGTTACTTGTCTTACCTGCTTCTGTCTGATTATTTTTGACTGAATGCTGCTCATAACATGTGAATGATTATAGGTATGTGGATAAGTTGTGATAATTGTAGGTACCTGGATAATGTAATGATGTGTTACTGCTCTAGAGAGGATTTGTCTTTGCTTCTAGCTTACAGCTGTGGAGATACTAGAAATCTTAGGTCACCTTCATCAGCTCAGGGGTGAAATGACTTGAAGCTGGATTTTAGTTTCTGTCAGGCACAGAATAAGTCTGATTTACCATTACTCCTAAAGTTTAGTTCTTTAAGATTCCAGTCAAAAGCCTAAGAGGTTTTACTGAAGTATTGTTCTCTCAATTTTGTGTCTCTTCAAAACTCTCCTTAGCCTATTATATACTCTGTTGTCACTTTCACTTTTAAAACTGACAGATATCTTAGCCTTACTCGTTCTTCATATATTTACCATCTTTCTACCACTAACCTGCCACGGCCCTCAAACAGATGATCATCTTTGAAACTGGCCAGCTTTTTCTTGTTCTTAGAAGGATTGGTTTAACATATTGCAACTGGCTGGTACCACCATACTTACATTACTGTCCCATCAGGTGGTTTGTAATGACCTACAGGGAGAAGTCTGAATTACAGCCAGGCCCTGCTGTGAACATGTTAAACCACTTACTTTGCCTCTTTATCTTGCAAATAATTTTGTATTAGAATATAAATTGTAGTATTGATAGTTTATATTGAACTCTTAGATGACTGAGAATAGGGAAGAACCCAATAATAAGAGACCTTTATTACATCTTTGCTCATAATAAAGAAAGGCTTTGCTATATATGGTCAAGCCCAGTTCCAGGCTTTCATAGATGGTTTCTATTAGGGACAGAGTACTTCTGACTAACTCTTACTCCTAAAGTTTAGTCCTTTAAGATCCCAATGAAAGGCAGTCCTGTAAGGTATGTTCCCTAAGTTTCTGTACTCGTTAGGTATGTGACTTGAACTCTTGCCCTCCTGCTTAAGTGTTTGAACCTTGATAATAGTTCTTTAATACTTCACAGCATATGAGTTGACATCTTAGTAAATTTGTTGAAAATAAAACTATCATCTGTCTTAAGATGAATTTCATTCCTTGTAATTGAAAGGATTATAATGTTAATATGTATTAACTAAAAAAATTATAGCTTTTTTTAATGAACCATTTGAGCTTCACTAATCTATTTTATATGAATGCTTCCTTAAAAAATCATAGGTCTGGCTTTTGATCTGTAGGGCATAGATGAGAAATATATGCTCAGAGGGTCTTGGTTACTTTTTGAGCTGATTTTTCAACATTTAGTCCCTGGCTTCAGTGACTCTAAACAACTTTTCTGTGTAGATTATTATGTAATAAATTGCCATCTCACAAAACAGCTCCTGGACACTTACTTGAAGGTGAAGCCCTGCATGTGATGATTTATCAGTTGATTGTAAAAGTAGGATTGACCAGTTCATCTAAGAGTTATTAAAAAAAAATTCTAGAATGGCTACTGCCATTTCTGGTTAATGTCTTGGGCAGGAATGAAAATTAATTGGGAGCTCAAAGTATCTGTTTTAATTCAAAGTGTAAGCACATCTAGGGGGAAAGCCTTCCAGATCATTACCGTTAGCTGAGATACCTTACCATACTCTCTTTAGAAGGAAAATCAATGTACTTTCCTGAGTTATAAATTTATAGTTAGTAGGGCAAAGGGCATGGTGGGCCTGCTATCTTCTAAACTCAGATCAACAGATTCCAAACTTCTGTGTGTGGTATTGTCAGGCTGGAGAAAGTAACTTTAGGACTACTGCACTGATGTAGAGTTTGGAACCTCCTAAATAGAAGTACTAAAACCTTTAAACATAGTAGCTATATCTCTACACATGGTTCATAGATATTTTTCTCCCAGATGTGGTATACACCCTGATATCCTGGGATTTGTAATCCGTAGCATGATACTTTTATTGAGTGATTACTTTTTCTTTTATATAAAGATATCAGAAAATGAATCTTGTATTTCCCTGTATTATAGAACTCATCTGAGTTTATTTACCTGTAAACATAATTTTCTGTGAAATACCTTAAAAGAATACTTCACTAATACATTGCATTTCAGATTAATATATGTGGATACACATGTGTACATATGCACAGTTTATATGCGTCATAGTTTATATCCGTCGTTTTCATATGTGATACTTTATATGTGTCACTGGTATAGTCATGAGTTTCTTACTTCATCCTTATTTCCTACACTGTAGCTTTAAGATACTATATGTTTTTGTTGCAGTTTCCCGTCCTTCTTTTTCTTTGGATTGTGATAAATTTTCTTTCTTATTTTATATTTCAGCCTTAGCCTAGTGTCTTGACTGTTTTCTGCCTTATCATTTTAGATCCCTCTCTTGTCTTCCTTTACTCATCCATCCATCCAGTGATAATCTGTTCACTAAAATGGAACCTTTCAGTTATTTGCTTAGCCATTTCTCTACTGTGATTAATTTGGGATTATTTATTTATTTATTTATGGCAATGCATTTGACATATCTGTAAATACCTTTGAGAGATAATTTTTTGTTGTTGTTTTCTCTTGGAAATTCCCTAAAATCATTACACAGAAAACTTCCTAATAGTTTTTTTTACACCCTAATTTTTACTATATGAACAAGTCAAAACCTTTTTTATTTACTTTTACCATTTCTACCATTGACTAACAAGCTATTTAAATTTGAATATTTCTTTCAATTTATTGCCCTACTTTAAGATTGCTCAAGTATTATGTGTCTTGTGTAGCAAAACAAATAAAAATCATATTTGTTTATGTTGAGTTTTCTTTATTCCTGAACTAGATTTGTCATTTGACATATATGAGGGTCAGATTACTGCATTACTTGGCCATAGTGGAACGGGAAAGAGTACATTGATGAATATTCTTTGTGGACTATGCCCGCCTTCTGATGGTGAGAGTTTTTCAGTCTAAAAAAATTCTTTTACTTTGTTTTATTAATGTTATTAACTGAGATATTACAGTATACTGTATTTATCCTTTAAGTGTATACAGGATTATTTTTGCCAGTGATTTGGGACCAACTTCTGTATCTGTGAAGGTGTTTTCTCTACTACTCACATTTGGTTGTTTTTCAATACAAAATAAAAAGTCCATCATGTTTAATAAAGTGAAAAGGATCTAATTTTGTTGCTATTTTTATCACATAGTTAAGTATGTGTCTTCATGTTCTTTATTTTCAAGGAAGGGTAAATCAGTAACTAATTTGAAATTAAATTAGACCTGTAGACTATTTCAGGTTAAGAAAGTAAATATAAATTTCCAAATATATAGCAATAATTCAAAAGAATGGTAAATATCAATGCTATCTCCTAAAATAAAAATTTAGGAGCATACCTCAAAGGTATAATTTTGATCTGTAATTGTTCTATAGGTAAGTATTCAATAAGGAAGCCTCATGTTTCTACAGTAACCAAAACATGGCAGTAAAATAAATATTTTACTTTATAAAATGGCTAAACTATGTTTAATCTGTATTTCAACCTTTTAAATGCAGTTCAACTTTTGAAGTTATTTTAGTTTTGTTCTTTATCCTTAATTATGCCACTTTTGGATTTAATCATAATATCTAACATTTATTTAAAGATCCATGATTTTTATTATAGCTATTTATAAATTATCACCTTAACAGTTCTTTAGTAGGCTGTATTAGTATTCAGTTTATAGAAGAAAAAAGCTGGAATTCAGAAGCATTAAGTAATTTGTTTAAGACCACAGAGATAGCATAAAACTATTAGTTCTTCGATCTCTCCACTATTTTCAAAATGAAGAAAAATTGTTACTGGAATATAATTATAAATGATACATCAATAGATGTTTATGTTTAGTGTTAATTTGTTAATTCCTTGCTCCTTCCATAGTGTAATATGGCCTGGAAGTGAAGGAAAATGAGATTGATATATAAATGGAGGCATATCACTAATAATATGGAAATGAGTCTGAATTATATATTTCAAATTTATATTAATTCTTTATATATCTATCGCAACTACATAATTAGTTATTAGGATATAGGAAAATACATGCATTTTAATACTTAACATGTTTAATATAAATATATACTTTGCTTTTAGGGTTTGCATCTATCTATGGACATAGAGTCTCAGAAATAGATGAAATGTTTGAAGCAAGAAAAATGATCGGTATTTGTCCACAGTTAGATATACACTTTGACGTTTTGACAGTAGAAGAAAATTTATCAATTTTGGCTTCAATCAAAGGAATACCAGCCAACAATATAATACAAGAAGTATGTTATTCATATAGAAATCTTCACTCTATTCCTTATAAATTAACAACCTTTTGTTAATAACTTGTACAATAAAAATATGCTTGAGAAAGCTAAATATAAAACTTCTATTAAGCCTGTAAACAGAAAAGAATTGTACATAATTTGGAGTAAATGCTTTAGTATATATAAAATAGCCCTTGTTTTTTCTGGAGGATACTTGTTTCCTCGCATCTCCTCTGCCCACACTTCCCTTTTCCTCTCTGTTTTCATTTCTCCTCCTTAGTAGCATTCATACTGCTCTGTTCTACTTCCTCACTACCCAAGAAAGCACAAAAGTAGACAGACCTTTTTCTCAAGAATCTTGTTACTTGTTATTGTCAGAATTATACATAAATATTTGTCAAAATTAATTTCCACACAAAATGAACATTTAAAAAATATTAAAATTACTTATAAACATTTATTCAGTAATTCTTAAAATAATGTTTCAAAAAGTCAAATATTTAAAAGCTGATATAATTATGCAAATGACAATTTAAAAAATAAGTGTTTATACTTTACTTTTCCAGGTGCAAAAGGTTTTACTAGATTTAGACATGCAGGCTATCAAAGATAACCAAGCTAAAAAATTAAGTGGTGGTCAAAAAAGAAAGCTTTCTGTAGGAATTGCTGTTCTTGGAAATCCAAAGGTAAATAAATATTAATTTTACTTAGGTTATTTTAAGTTATCTTAGATAAAAAACAGGCTATGGAAAGATATATGATATATGGAGTTTAAACATATACATTTATGGATAGATCAGAAATATTTAACATCATGATACTGGGGAATTAAAGGGGTGAATTTCAGTTATGTCTATAGTGTGTTATGGGGTGTGTGTGTGTGTGTGTTTGTGTGTGTATGTGTATGTGTGCTTGGAAAGATCTGACCGGGTACAGTGGCATATGCCTGTAGTACCATTATTCAGGAGGCTGAGGATAAGGTCTGGTTGAGCCCCAAGTTCAAGAGCAGCTTGGGCAATGTAGCAAGACCATGATTCAAGAAAAAAAAAAAATTAAAGGCCTAAAGAAAATAAGCCCCCCCCCCAAATTTCTTTGATGACAATAACAGTATTATTTTACTATTCTGCATATATTTTTAAAATATAGTTTAAGAGTTCATAATAAAAGTTAAGATAGAAAAAATGAAGAAATAGTTCAATTTCTTGCTGTCCTGTTCTTGGATTTTGCATGTTATTGTTTTGTGCTATTCTCTGTTCTATAGACACAGAGAAGCAGCTGATACATTGCCTTGCACAGTGCCAGAAAGCTCAGGTTGTATGCCTGATGCTTCGACCCTTACCAATGCCTACCGTCCTGCTATATCAGTCTTTTCTGCTACAGCTTGGGATGACTGGATTTATGTTAATCAATCTTCTGCCCAGCTCATACCACCATTTTTAAAATTAAAATTAGTCTTGAAACAAATTGCTTTTGTTGCAATATATAAGGTATACATCTCTAAAAAACAGTTGTTAACTTAGTTGTTAAGGACGATAAAAATTTACTTGTATTTATGTGATTGTTGTTATAGTAATAGCTTTTTATTATAGAAATTGGCCTTTTAAAACTATACTAGGGAAAATATTCAGTCATAATTTAAAAAATATATGCAGACTCAGATAAGAGTGGAAAACTGATCTAATGTATTTCTGATTGAAAGTAATTGGTGATGGAGAAGCTTTTCAGTAATCTACATCCTTTTAACACAGATACTACTACTAGATGAACCAACAGCTGGGATGGACCCCTGTTCTCGTCATATTGTTTGGAATCTTTTAAAATACAGAAAAGCCAATCGGGTGACAGTGTTTAGTACTCATTTCATGGATGAAGCTGACATTCTTGCTGGTGAGAGTTTTGCTTTATTTTTATTTTATTTATTTATTTATTTATTTTTGGTACCAGGGATCGAACTCGGGTCCTTGTGCTTGCGCAACAGGCGGCAAAACCACTGAGCTAAATCCCCGGCCCTCGCTTTATTTTTAAAGGATAAAGATATGGTCATGGGCCAAAAGGAAGATGAATATAAAAGTATTTGATCCTGAAAAATAAATAGAAATGGTTATCTCATTGTGTAGTTCCATCCAGATTTTTAAACTTCAAAAATTACATGTTTATGTTTTGGGTGTTCCCCAGATGATGCCACTCTTCAGCAGTTTCCTAGGAGAACTCATAGGCCTTAGCTCATGGTTATAATTTATTATAGTGAAAGGATATAAATTAGCAAATGAATTAGCAAAGGAATAAGTTATATGGGAGAAGCCAGATGTAAGCTTCCTAGAGTTTCTCTCATTGGAATCACCCATGATGCATTTAATTTCTCCAGGACTGAGTTGTAACTACATGTGTGAAATATTTTCTATCAGAAAAGCTTGTTGAAGACTCAGTGTCCAAAGTTCTTATTGAGTGCTGGTCATATAGGTACCCTCTGCATTATATTTAGCAAATTCTAGACTAACTGTTTGCTGCACAGCTTTATGCATATGCAGATGTAGGGAAACACATGAGTTCAGATATATATGGCAAGATCGAGGAGATTGAAATTCTGTAGCAACTTCTTTCAGTTTATAATATAATCTAATAAATTGAATAAGCCATTCATCTTTTTAGCAGTATCTTTGTTTTAAAAAGTAATTTCTGTTGCTTCTTTATACATCTGTTTATAAAGGAAACCTGTTAAAACTACAGCATTAATAAGCCTTGTGGGATGAGTGTGAACTATTTGCAGTAGTGTAAAGCAACTGTTCTTTAGAATCAGATTTGCCTGGTTATGGTTCCTGGCTTTGTTACATAATTGCTATGTGAAACATGTAAGAAGTATATTTTCTTGTTGCCTCAGGGTTCAAATCTGAAAAATTGGTACATAAATTGATGGTAATCTAGTATATTCTTCATTAGATAGTTGTGTTTCTCATATAATAATTGGTAAAATGTTATTGCCAGTTATCACTGCTGTGATTAGAAATTGAAATGTAAATCTCTGCTTGCAGATAGGAAAGCTGTCATATCACAAGGAATGTTGAAATGTGTCGGTTCTTCAATTTTCCTCAAAAGTAAATGGGGGATTGGCTACCGCCTGAGGTACTATTCATTCTTTCTCAGTTTTATTCCTTATATTTATTCTTGGTCAACTGTTACTTTTAGCTTTTTCCTAGTGTGCCTTAGCCATTTTTTATGCTAAATTTAAAGCATTCAGATTTTATTTTTCATCGTCTATTGATCATAAAAATTAGGATTTTTGGTTTTCTCTAGCATGTACATAGACAGATATTGTGCTACGGAATCTCTTTCTTCAGTGGTTAGACAACATATACCTGGAGCTACTTTATTACAACAAGATGACCAACAACTTGTGTATAGCTTACCTTTCAAAGACATGGACAAATTTGCAGGTACTACTTTTAGAATTTTGGTTGTTGAACAAGGATTTTACATTGAAAATAGGTTTTCTTGATTTCCTTTTTTGTTAATTTCCCTATGTAATTTCTCTGTTCCAAGGTGACCAGAGTTAATATTCTATTTCTGCTTTATTTTGTTTTTGAACTATACACCTGAACTATACACCGATGTCTGTATTTTACAATATGCAAGAAATTAGATTATGTTGACTTAAATATAAGGAAAATATAAAAGTAATTGTGTGCTCAAAAATATTGGCACCATTTGCTTGTAGGCCTTCTGAAGATATATTATTAATTATGTATGTTTTTGAGTTATTTTCTAATTTCATGATTCCGTAATGAATTATGGTATTTTACTAAGACTTATTATTAATAATTATTTAAATTAGGTCATTGCTTTTCAGCTTTATAATAGAAACTCAAACTACGTCCCTCCTTTCTCTTCTTAGGGGTCATTTCACAGCAAACAGAATATAAATGATGTAGGTATGCTGTGCAGAAGTCCCATGGCATTTATTTAGTAATTAGGAATATATTTTCTATAGTAGTTTAGTTGGTTTATTCAAAAAGAAAAGAAGTCACTAATGTTATTGGTCAACTTTCCCATTGCTAGGACACAATACTTGACATCTACAACCTAAAGGAGAAGTTTATTTGGCTCCTGGTTTTAGAGGATTCAGTCCATGGTTGGCTAGCTCCAAGACAGTGAACATTGTGGCAGAAGGGCATGGTGGAGCAAAGTTCCTGAGTTCATGGGATCCATGAAGCAGAGTAGGAGAACAGCACCAGAGAGAAGGGACCAGTGGCCAGATATAGACCACAAGGTCACTCTTCCATGACCCACCCAGACATGCCCAGAAGTGTGCTTTACTAATCCCCTAGGTCAGTGGTGGTGGTGAACCTTTTAGAGCTTTTAATGATAAAAAAACAGCCAATTGAGGCACGCATGCCATAGGTTTGCTACCACTGCTCTAGATGTTTCTTGATCCAGTCAAGCTGATAGTCACTATCAACAGTCACACTAATTAATTGAATTGATGTATGTATGCCAAGTACCTTGTTTGTGATCCGGTCTACTTGTACCTACCTGTTCTTTAATAACATATATACAGTGCTTTATTTTATCCCAGATGCTAGACTCTGCCTTTTACAATTATTAGTTTAATCATCCCAATATTTCTCTTTTTTTCCCCATTTTTTTCTTTTTCACCCCAATATTTCAACAAGTGTGTGAGAGAAATACTATTATTGCTTATATTTTATAAATGAGGAAATAAAAAGAAAAATTAGGGAACTTGCCCACAGCCCAAAGTTAACACAGGTGGAAAGTGGTGGAGCTGAGTTGTGAACCCAGGCAGCCTGGTTCCAGTACTCACATTTTTTTCATTTTATTGCCTTTTGTGTTTTTTGATAGATTGTTACAGTATTTCATTGGATTTCTAAGTATGTTCTGGGAAGAGCAAGGGTGGATCCTAAGACCTCTTGAAGGAATTCATGAGGCCAACACTTTTTTTCTAATACAAAGATGTTATTTTTCCCTTTTAACCTGCAGCTTCTTATATACAGTGTTTTCTAGAGATTGCATAACATGTATTATCAGCACATACTGGATATAGAAACAGGACATACTGAATATAGAAACAAATATGAGAACTCATCTGTCCCCTGTTAAGACAGATATTAAAAAGATAAAAGTGTAATTTTCACATTGGTTTCTTTTGTTCTAAAAATATCCCTTTTAAAATAAATAGGTTTATTTTTATTTAAAAAAGAGTAAGTTCTTAAATGATTTCCTTTTTTAGTAATGTTATTTAAACCTTTATATAGTAACAGTTTCAGTTTTAATTTCAAGTTATAAATGTTTATTAGTTTTAGTTTATAATATGATAAATATCTAATGGCTATATTCTCATAAAGAAAATCTTTTTGGGGTCCTTAGCAATTTAGAATATTAAGTGTCCTGAGTCAAAAAAGTTTGAAAAATACTGTGCTAGCTGAGTAAATTTAGTCATATTCTATTTTTAAGTATTTTAGAAAAGTTAGGATAGTATGCTTACCTATACACCATACTTTCATTATTTTTTTCTTTTAGGTTTATTTTCTGCTCTAGACTTTCATTCAAATTTGGGTGTTATTTCTTACGGTGTTTCCATGACAACTTTGGAAGATGTATTCTTAAAGCTAGAAGTTGAAGCAGAAATTGACCAAGCAGGTAAAAACAGGATTAAGAAAACATTTTAGACAATGAACCAAGCAGATCATTTAAAAGACAAATAATTATATAAGCATGTGAAGTTTGTATTATTTTAGGAAGGGAAATGCAGAAATAAGTAAAAAAGTTATTGAGATATTTATAAAACTGAAAAGTATAGAAAGGAAATAGCTAGATGTTCTTGGAAAGCAGTGAACTTAAATTGTATTATCAGAGATGACTTTGTTGAGAAGATACTTGGTCTGAGACTTGGATGACAAGAAAAATCCAGGGATGCAAATTTTTAGGACAAAATTTTTCTGATGAAGAGAACTGCTTTTGCAGGAGTGTTAATTAAGGAATGAGTTGGGTGTCTTTGAGGGAAAAAAAGACCACTAATGGTGGAGTCATGGAAAAGATAATAAACATTAAAGACAGAGGGTAGTCAAAGAACCAGATCATGTTTTGCCAAAGAACATTTGGAAAAGAATTTTATTTTCTTTGTGCAATGTGATACTATCAGAAAGTTGTAAAAGCAAAGGAATAGTATGATTTTACTTGCATTAAAAAAAATGCCTTCCATTTGTTCAATAATTAGCACATTTTAAAGGAAGAGTACAAGGAGGAAGACCAGTTAGAATCCTATTACCATTAATTTTAGCTTGAACGGGGCTGGTGGTAAAATAGGAAGAGAACAGATTTGGGTTATTGTAGTGACGACATGCTGATGGATTGTTAGGGTTTCAGGAAAGGGAGTAATCAAGTATTTGAGTTGAGGACTGGGAAAGGGATTGCCCTTTCCTGAGAATGGGGAAGGAATGGGTTTGTGGAAGGAAAGAATTCAGGCATGAATTTTGGCTGTATTATTTGAAATGTAGCTGGAACTAAGTAAAGCTGTTAGGGCTGAAGATATATATTTTGAAGTTAAGTATAGATGGTGTCATGGAATTGGATGAAATCACTTAGTTAGAAAGTATAGGTAAGATTAAAGGGCCAAGCCCTGAGGCTGAGGAGTGGAGAATCCAGAAGAGGCTGCTTAAAAAGGAATAATTGCTGTTTTATTTTCCTTTCTTCATGGAAGAATGGATATACAAAGGCTTGAAAAAAATGGTGTTTTGAGAAGGTAGAAGTATAAAGTTATTAATCATTTACTGAGAAGAATAAACTGAATAGAGTTTTGGGAACAGAAGACAATGAGATATTTGATAGTTTGGAAGACAGTAGTGACCTTGATCAGAGCAGTTTCAGTGTTATGGTAAGGAGGAAAGCTGGAGCTATGTGGTCCAAGGTAAGAATGTGAGTTGAGGAAACTGAGAATTGAAAGTTAGCAAGATGGTTGGGTGGTAGGTCAGGAGCACAAACAGAACCTGGGAAGTTAGTTCATAGTCATAAAAAGAGTTGAGATGCTTCACATACACACTTTGCGTGTGTGCTGAGTGGCTGATGATGAAAATCATTGTGAGATCAAGGTCATGAATAAAATCATGAATATACCAAGAGTTAAACTTCCATCATGTTGAAATACAAAATACAAAAAAAATTATCACTGGAATTTTATTATTTTTGGTTTGGGTAGTCAAATTATAAAAGGTTGGAAATAGTATATAGAAAAAATTTGTCAGTATTACTGAATGTATAATTATTACTGTGGTCATAGACTTATGATACCAGATAGTCACTTTCAAGTACATTTAGTGGAGAAGCAATGTATTTTTAAAATTTTAGTTTTTCTTTTTGATTAACATGTAATAAGTTTACATAGTTATGGTAGAAGCAGTGTATTTGGGATCCTTCTGTTTTTATGTCTAGATCAAAGAAGGTTGATCTTAAATGCTATTTTTATGCAATTTTGTAGCTCTTCCTTCTTCTGAAAATCTGAAATGATACAAACTGTATGAATTCAAACTAAAATATTTTATTGAAAGTCTTACAGCCTTAATGCAATTAAATAAATAAAAATGAAAACACTTCCAGAAGTTTTTGGATAATATTCTATTGTGGGTGCTGCAATACTGAACTATATAAAAATTAATATATGGTACAAACTAAACTTGCATTTTTATAATATTCAAACTAAAATATGTATATATTCATCATAATATATTGGCCATATCATTCTTCCTAAAGTTGTTTGACTAGTATATTCACTTTCATATTGCCTTAACAGTCAATATCTTTCTGCATTTAAAGTCTGGGATTTTTTTAAAATTTAAAATGCTCAATCATCAGTTGTGTATCATTTTATTCTTGTCATTAAATTAATATCACTTGTCCTTTGACTCATAGAATTTCAATATAAAATACATAAAGAAATTTTTATTCTAATTACATTTAGAATATTCAAATGTAATTGAAAATAATGTAAAAAGTAAATCTGAATGACATTTTATTCACATTACTGAGTTGGTTATATTAACACATTAGTGGAGCTGGGGATTTAGCTCAGTGGTTCCACTGCCTGCCTCGCAACTGCAAGGTTCTGAGTTCGATCCTCAGTACCAAAAAAAAAAAAAAAAAAGACCTCAACTGTGAGATGGTAGTAACCTATCTGATCACACTGTCATTGATTATGCGTAACTTCATGAGTGCCAGGAAATAGTATCAAGCTAGACATTTAGCTCATAACTCTTTCAGAGTGTGAAGCTGAAGAAAGTCTGACAGTTGGCTGTCAACTGAGAAATGGCAGGGAGAAAGAGGGAAGTCAGGTGTTTGATGAGGACACGATGTTAAATTGTAGTCAGAGGGAAAAATTCGCATGTGTTTTGAATGTTGTACAGTTGCAGAGATAAAAAAAATCTTAAATATGAGTATGCAACCAGTTTGGCTCTGAGCTATTTATATAATACAGTACATCTATTTTGTATCTGGCTTCTTTTATGTAATACTATTTTTATGATATTAACCGTATTTTTTATATGTAGCTGTACGGTATTTTTTTCATTTTCATTGTGTTAAATCATTCTCTTGATATAATTTACAACTGTTCATTCACCTTTTGGTAGACATTTGATTCATTGTAGTTTGTGAGTATTCTGGATATGGCTTTCTTGAGAATGTACATGTGTTTTGGGGTCCCTGTATACATATCTCTATTGGGGTTACGCCTAATAGGGGATTTCCTGGATCATAAGATATGCATACATTCAGCTTTTATTGATAGTGCCAAAATATATGAGAGTTCCATTTGTTCCACATCACTGGCAGATGTGTGCTTCTTTAAAAGTGACATGCTTCTGAAAGTTTTCACCTTTTTAAAGGATATACCACAATTTTCTTTTTATTTTGGCAAATAGATTTTAGTGTATTTTCACAGAAGCCACCAGAGGAAGAAATGGATTCAAAGTCTTTCGATGAAATGGAACAGAGCTTACTTATTCTTTCTGAAACCAAAGCTTCTCTAGTGAGCACCATGAGCCTTTGGAAGCATCAGGTGTCTACAATAGCAAAGTTTCATTTTCTTACCTTGAAACGTGAAAGTAAATCAGTGAGATCAGTGTAAGTATCATTATTCTTTTGCCTGAGGTGTTGGATTTTACAGATACAAATTGGATTTCCTATCTTAATTTTTTAAATGTTGGCATATGTAAATAACCTATATAGTTTTGAATGATTAAAATAATTTCACAATGTTAGAGAAAGTAATTATAGTAAATTTATCAAAGATTCCTAGAGCTTTTTCTGTTTTAAACTAGCATTTGCCATCTCATCTATAAGATGAAGTGACAGTTCACACTACTTGTATAATTTTTGTATTATTGTCATTGGCTCTATTTTTTTACATTTATATTTCTACACTACCTTTAATTCACCCATTAGTAAAGTTTTTAATCTCTTGTAAATAGTAGGAAAATAAATTTTAACTATCAGATGAAGAAACATATAAAGAAAGCTAACTAGTAGAGATGGGATCAAAATAAGATATTGACTTAGATTTAACCTTTCTCATTTAGTACACTCTATCCCTAGGGTGCTAGGAATTGACTTATTTGGAAATAACAGATTACTTTCATGTACTGTACCTTCAGTTAATAATCAAAAATAAGAGTATTGCTATATGTTACAAATATGCTGATTTGCCTTTTTTAGTAAATTTATTCCAGTACCAAACAAATGTCATTTAAGTACTTGATTTATTCCTGCATCAGTGTTAACGAAAAAAAATATGTATTTAAATCAGCATGTTTAAATTTATTTAGTTGAATTACCACACTGAAAGTACTCTAGAAAACAATAGAAGTCCCTTCACTTAGACTGCTATAATAAAATACCATATCTATCTATAGATCAATACCATAGATTTGGCCATGTAAGCAACAGAGATTTATTTTTTCTCACATTTCTGGAGGCTAGAAGTCTAAGATCAAAGTGCCTGCATGATAAAGGCTCACTTCTTGCCTTGCAGAAAGCCACCATCTCATTGTGCACTCACATGACTTCTCTTGTGAATGAGCGAGAGAACATACAAGTGAGCACACTCACATGTGCTCTGGTGCCTCTTTTATGGGGCAGCAAACATGAGGACCACACCTTCAGGCCTTCATCTACCCAAATTACTTTCCACTTTGAAATATCATCAGGTTAGGGATTAGAGTTTCAACATGTAAATTTGAAGGGTCACATCCAATTCAAAACAAAAAATGTCATGTGGACAAATACATTTAGGAAATGTTATATATTATGTCTATTAAAAGTTGTTCATTAGTATATAAGAATACCTGAGAGATACCATGATGAAAACTTTAACTTTGTTTAACCTGGTGATTACAAATAATGTCTAAGCCTGATTTTTTTCCTTACCTAAAGCACCAATTACCTTATTTTACAGTTGTATTTAAATGTATTATGCTTTAGGAAATCATGATTTAAATAGATTTAAAGAATGGAACCAAGAGATGGAAGGAGGAGAAAGGAAGAGGAGAGAGAGGGTGTATGAAAAGAATTAAAATGTGTCATGTGCCTGTACCAACTCCCACTATGAATGTAATCATTACATACTGAAAATATATACAAAAAAAATAAAAAGCATTCTGGCAAGGAGGTATGGGGCTTTGTACTCAGTGACCAGAGAGGGCCTTTCCAAGATGTTCAATTGAAATACAGAATTTAAAAAAGAAATGAGTGTTCCTAATTATGAAGTATCAGAAAATTATAAATTATTAAATAAGATGTGATGATCTAAGCTCTCCAAATACATGTGACATTTAACATCTAATGTAGAGATATTTTGTAGGACAAGTAGATATCTTCCAGATGGAAGGGCTTCGTCGTGTATTGCTGAGAGGTGAAACAACAGTTAATGTGATTAAATTATGATTAAGATGGAATTTTAAGGATATCATTTTTTCACTGTATTTTTTATTTCCTTCTCTGTATCTAAGTATTATTGTCAGTGTATGGAAAATAAATGATTAGAATAGAGGAAGGGCAGGAAGTACTATAGTTCCTTCAGAAAAATAGAGACAAATATTTGTAACAATGTGTGATTCTTCAGCAATTACAACTGCATGTTTACATACTCTAATAATTTAGAGGGATAGATCTAAAATATACTTTCATAAACTTTTTTCCCTCTCCTCACCGACACTTTTAATTTTGTCATTTAATGATGGCTTTTTCTCCAGTATTATCATAATGTTATGTTCAATAGTAGGTCTTTTTAAAGGATTTTCCTTTTAACTGTCTGAGGTTTAAATCTATATCAGTATAAAAAAAGATTTTAATAGAATTATGTATTGCTAAACCTTGGTTTTTTTTTCTTTTCAGTTTGCTTCTGCTTTTAATTTTTTTTGCAGTTCAGATTTTTATGTTTTTGGTACATCACTCTTTTAAAAATGCTGTGGTTCCTGTCAAACTTGTTCCAGACTTATATTTTCTAAAACCTGGAGATGAACCTGATAAATACAAAACAAATCTGCTTCTTCAAAATTCTACTGGTGAGAGTGTGTGAAGGTCTGTGAATGTGTTGGTTGGGCAGGAGGTTGTGGGGTAGATACAGTTCAGAGATTGGGATTTTAGAAATACTTAAGGTAAAAGCATGGTGTGCCTGCAAATAATCTAAATTGAACAAAATATTTACCTTATTGATGCTGAATAGTATATTATAGAAATGGGAGTTTGATTTAAATGTACTGATAGTTTAAAATATATTCTATAATAAAATGTACTTGATAGTTTAAAAATATTCTAATTTTTACTACTTAAATCATTAGATTCCTTTTTTAGAAGAGTAGCAACATTGTTCTTAGCATGCTTTTTCTCAAAGTTCATGATGGGCAAAACTGGCTTGAAGTTGTAAAATTTTCTTTAGAAAGAGCTACGATGTATAATATAAGTGCACTTATACATCTACATAGAAATATTTAATCCTTTCAACAACTATCTGAAAAATGTGTTAAAACTAAGAAAGCATAGCCTTAGATATAAATATCTGTAATCAAATATATTAAATATGGAGTTGATATTTTTAGAGTTGGTGTTGGTGTTTTTACCATATAATACATAATTGTGAAGCAGGAAAACACATTTTTAAGTATATAAACTTGAGAAGAATTTAAATGAATAAACTAACGTAGGGTTCTGATTTTCAGAACCTTAAAACCGAATGCAAAACTTTATTCCTGCATGATCAATTGCTTTACAACTCCTCCTATCCACGTAGATAGCTTATACTTTCAAGGTTCTTGAAAAGATTAAAAATTAGTACTGCTAAAATCTGATGCTAAGTGTATTTCACAACCTTTATTCTTTTTCAGGAAGGTCCATTTAAGGTAAAAAATTACTCTTAAATAGAAAATGCTATGTTTTGTACTTTTTTTTTCTTTTACTTAGAATTGCTTTGGGTTTTAATGTGTATCTTGGGATAGTACATGCATCTCAAAATCTTTCCCTTGGTTCTAGGCCATAGAGAATGTAGATGAAGACCTAATTATGTGTTTGAATAGAGAATGTAGATGAAGACCTAATTATGTGTTTGAATATGTTGACATAGTTAAGGCACTTGGTACTTATAACACTTGTCTGCCCAAAACATACAAAACTCCTTTAGGAAGTAAAGTTACTGACCCTGGTTTATACCTTTCTGACTTTTGCTGCTTATCCTGTTACTTAAAATTGCCAGTTGGATTTTCATTTTCATTATGTATTTGAATTTCAAGTGACTATTATAGGGGATTTTTCAGTGTTATTAATAATTGTAGCAGCAGCAGCAGGTACAGTTTGCACAATTACTGAGTGCCAGGTTCTGTTCATATCCCTATTTATAAGTCATTCATTTAATTCTCATGATTACTGTACATGTAAAGCAGATACACTTATTGTCCTCACTTTGTGAAAGAAGAAACTTGGGTCCAGAGCATCTAGGTAACTAGCTTGAAGGACAGATAATGTAAGTGGTAAAACTTGGATTTGAATGTAGGCTAACTGGCTCAAGTCAGCGCTCTTAATCATATCTTAGCTGATGAAGATAAAACATTTCTCTAAAAAGAGAAGCATCTTTCTATTGTTATTAAAAGTCTATTCTGTCTTATCTAAACTGATTCTTTATTATTTGCTTATTTTCTAATATCAGAATCAGATATCAGTGATCTTACTAACTTTTTCACATACCAGAACATAATGGTGACGATGTTTAATGACAGTGACTATGTGTCTGCTGCTCCCCATAGTGCAGCTTTAAACGTGGTGCATTCAGAAAAGGTAAGAGTAGTGCATGTGAAAGAACACTCGTTTAGGAGTAATAAAAGATTAAACTATTTTCTCTAAAATTATTTGCCGAATTGACCTCATTAGTTGGAAATTAGAATCTACTTTTAGAAAAGCTAGCTGTGTTTATTGTTGATATATTTTATGCCTGATAAGTGACCAATATATAAAAGTAAAAGAAATTTTATTTTTATACTGTTGCATAAAAAGTATGCTGTACATTCCAAGCCAGGTTATTTTTATCTATCATTGAGTATTGTCTGATTTGTTGAAGTAGCTTTTATGAGAAGCTGGTGAGAAAAGATCGGTACATAGCAATAGTATATCTACTTATATGAAGTATGTAATTACTCTTTTTTTAAATTATAGGACTATATTTTTACAGCTGTTTTCAACAGTACTATGGTTCATTCCTTACCTGTATTGATGAATATCATTAGTAACTACTATCTTTATCATTTAAATGTGACTGAAACCATCCAGATCTGGAGTACCCCATTCTTTCAAGTAAGCAAAGATACATATAGATAAATATCATGAGCGTACCATACTTTATTCATCATATATATATCTCCACAGAGGTTCTGTTTTGGTACTGCTATTTTTATAAAACAATTATATTTTATAGTGCTTGCTTGGGCAGTATCACAACAGTTTTAGAAAGTTTGTTGCCCCCACCCAAAAAAACCTCTCGTACTCAATAATTTTTTTACTCCTCATTGTCTTTCATCCCTACCCCTAGACTCTCATATACTAGAATTTGGAGCAGCTTCTACAATGTCACGTAGCATAAATTAAGAAATTGGCTTTATTGCTATATATCAAAACTCAAAAGGCTAGAGAGAACAAGGCGGTTGTCATCTCAGGGAATGCTGTGTCAGGGCCAAGGTGTCTGCTAGACACACTATGGGTTCTGTACCCTGCCCCATGAGTATATCTTCTTACAGAAGAAGGGTAAGAGAATGGCCTTATGGGAGTTGCAGGATGATAAAATACCTTTTGTAATTTGCATTTGAGATGCCAGCTATTTACTGACTTGTCAGGGAAAGTTAGTTGACTGTAGCTGGATCATCCCAATGCTAGGGGCTTTGGCAACTGTAAGGAATAGTGACTTCCCGCCTGGGAGTTGTTGGTTCCATAGGAGCCTGAGCTTGAGGAAAGAAAGACATCTCAGGATCCCAGCAGGCCTATAGTCCACACAAGTGAAGAGTACCAAACATCATCCCTAGATATTTTTTATCATTGTATAGGACAACTAGTGGACATACTAATTGCTTTTCATACATAATACTACTTTTTGTTAAATGGTGAAGTTTAACTTACTTTCCAGATTTTTTGTGTCATAGCAAAGAAAATGGAATGCAGTGATTTGTTGAGGCTTATATAGCTATGTAACTAGTGACAGAGTTGGTACTTACAGTCCACCACCACCTGTTAATAAGCCTGCAGCCCATCCTTTCATACAGGCTTTGCTTGGGGTAGATATCCTAATGTGCTCCTTCAGAGGTTTTGCTATTCTTTTAGGATGTTGTAAGATGATATAAAGTGATTCTTAGTTGTATTTCTTATTCTCTGTTTGTCTTTCAGGAAATTACTGACATAGTTTTTAAAGTTGAGCTATATTTTCAAGCAGCTTTGCTTGGAATCATTGTTACTGCAATGCCACCTTACTTTGCTATGGAAAATGCAGAGAATCATAAGGTAATAACTCAGTTAAAAATGAAGGTCTGGGGCTGGGGATTTAGCTCAGTGGTTCTGGTGCCTGCCTTGAAAGCGCAAGGTCCTGAGTTTGATCCCCGGTACCAAAAAAAAAAATGAAGGTCTGGATTACTAATAGAAGTGTCATAGAAATAACCTATTTTCATGATTTGCAAATATTAAATATAATTATTATTTTAGGAATAAATTAAGATTATAAATATACTGTATTTATTATATAACTAATAATATCTGTCACTTGAATACCTTTTATATGCTTTAAAATTATATCCTCTAATCTGTACAACAAAAGTTTTATTTTACCTATTTTATAGATCAGGAAATAGAGTATGGGATTCTTCTTATAATTTCCTCAGTTTGAGTCTGTTTGAATGGTGGATTTGAGAACTGACCGGGATCTTTATGTCTTGTTGTTTTGTTTTGGTTTTTTTTTATTTTACTTTTGATTACTGGCATCAAACCCAGGGCCAGTTTACCACTGAGCTACATTTCCGATTCTTTTTATTTTTTATTTTGAGACAAGGTCTCATTAAATTGCTGACTCTGATCTCAAACTTGCATTCCTCCAACTTCAAGTTCCCAAGCAGCTGGGATCGTAAGTGTGCATCACTAAGCCTGGCTGCTCTTTATGTTCTTACCTGGGACACTTGCCTGGTTTTCCTTGATAACCTTTAATAGAGTGTTTTGAATGTACAAGGCACTTACTCCTTGTTATGTGAAAAAAAAAAAAAAGTGAAAAATGATTTCATCACTACAGCCTAGGAAAAGTCCCTAAGTTTACAGAGGTTCTTTGGTGGTATTTGTTTCACTGTCTTTTCTGCACCTTTCTCTGGGGTTTTCCTTCAGACATATAATGATTGCACAGTCTTTTGGCTATTCAAAGTCTTCTACTATATCACTGGATTGAATTATATCTTACTTCTCTAATCAAAATGTATCAATCTATAATGTTTCCATAATGATCTTAATTTGAAAACAAGATTACCTGAACTAATTTACAGGATATGATGAATAATGAGCTTAAGCTCATTTTTATGTTTTAAAGAAATTTAAGTGTATTTTAAAAAATTCTAGTATATTTTTAAAAATTTTATTGCAAATTAATGTAAAAGTAATACATAAGTCTCAGATTTTTAAAAATATTCAAGTTTTGTGTTATGAGTATATACATGTTTGTAGTAATTTAGAAAATGTAGAAATGTATAAAGATAAAATTCCATTATGCCACCACTCTAAGCTAAAATTTATTAGATGCTTACATTTTTTCAACTTAAACCTCTTTAAATTAAACTTCATTTTGAGATAATGACAGATTAATTTTCACATGTCAGAAATGATACACCAGGATCCTGTGAATTCTTAACTCATTTCTGAAAAACTAGCATCACAAATATTGACATTGATACAGTCATGGTACAGGGATTGTTCCTGTTGCTCTTCTTTAGCTACACATCCCCCTTTCTTTTTCCTCTGTATCCTGGGGAGACCATTAACCTATTCTCCATTGTTATAATTTTGATAATTTCAAGAATGTATGAATGAAATCGCAGTATGTATTCTTTAAAAATTAGCTTTTTCCCCTCAGTGCAGCGATGGCAAACCTTTTAAAGCTTTCAGTGATACAAAAAACCCACTGTGGAACCACCCCTGCCTCAGCATAACTCCCTAATGCTTTTTGAAATTCACCCAATTTATATGTATCAATAGTTCATTTGCTTTTGTTGTGTAGTATTTCTTGGTGTGTTTATATCTTAAATTTGTTTATTGCCTATGAAACAACATATGGATTGTTTCTACTTGACATTATTATGAATACAGTGGCTATAAACATTTGTATCCAGGTTTTTATGTGAACCTATGTTTTTATTTCTCAAGGATAAATGCTGACTTGGTGGTTGCATGTTTAGTTATATAAGAAAATGACAATTTTTGTTCCAGAGTGGATACACCATTGTATATTCCCACCAGCGGTGTATGAATGATGAAAGCTTGAATTCTCTAAAATAATTACACTTGACTTGGTTTATGTTTTTAAACTTGTATTGGAATTAACATATATCTCATGTTCCTATATTCATTGAACATAAAACTTGCTCATGTGTTTCCTTTTCCTTTTTAGCTCATCTTTACATTTCTTGGTTCCCTTGTCTCTATAGCCTGCTCTTTGGTGTAAAACTTTTAATTTTTAGGAGTAGATGTTTTTATAGATGGAAGAAATCAGTTAAGACTGTTAGGTATTTGGATTTGTAAAAGAATTTTTGAATTTTAAATTAAATAATGAGAGTATGAGATAGGAAAACTATGATTATTTACTCTTACTGTTAATATACGTGAAAATTTTACTTGTGGTAGATATATTATTTGTATACAAAGTTTTACAATCTGAAGCCCTGTGCAAAGCTAGAGATATTTGGCAGTTTATTAGGGTTTATATTAAAGAGTAATTTTTGCAAATGGGAACCCTTTTCCTATTTAAAAATATCTTTCCATCTGTTTCTGCAGATTTACAAAAGCAAGTATTTAGCTTTGAACAGCCATAACCTCCTTGACACCTTTTGACTTATTTTACTGTATCCTTATTTTTAAAATTTTTGTTGAGTTTGTTGCATGTCAGAAATAATGAGCCAAATTAAGTACTAAGTGGCATCTCTAGTATCAGGAGGATTTTTAGTACCTATAGGCCTAGAATGTCACCTTTTTTGTTTTATTGATATAAAATTAAGAGTTCTACAATGATTTGATATTTTTTTCTTTGTAAAATATCTAAAGTTATATTATTTTCTTTTTAATTTTTAGATCAAAGCTTATACACAACTTAAACTTTCAGGTCTTTTGCCATCTGCATATTGGATTGGACAAGCTATTGTTGATATGCCCTTATTTTTTGTTGTTCTTATTTTGATGCTAGGAAGCTTATTTATATTTCATCATGGATTATATTTTTATGCTCTGAAATTCCTTGCTGTGGTAAGTTAACGTCAATTGTACTCAGGCTATTTATACATAAGATGTTACCTAAAAGCTAATTATACACAACACTATGAGTAATATGGATATTAATTATTTTTGAAAAGAAAATAGAGCCAGTGTTTATTGTATATGATATGTACAATCAATTCAATTTTTATTACTATCAGTGATTTTTAAAAATAATAGCTTACTACCATTAAAATTAATTTCTTGAAACAGGTATACTGGAGATTATGTACATACTTGTGTGTAATCATTCACACTTAAATGTATTCTTCCAATATCAAGTCTTCCTTGTCTGTTTTTATGCTTGAGCATAATTTTACAAGGAAGGAGTTCTTTTATTCCATAATTCAGGATGTGGCTTAAAGGACAAAGAAAAAGTCTAATTCACATTTTTGTTCACATGTAAATGATCGATGATAGATCCTTTCATTAAATGAATTTTGTAAGGAGAAGGGAAAACAGAGCTAAGTGAGGTTTGTTGAAAGTAAAATTATCAGTGTTGTTGAAGATCATGCTGAATTTGTATATTAATTTTTGCCAAATAAATAATAAATGCTTCTCTTAAAACTGATATTAAGGCATTAAGTGTGGTATATTAAAATACTAGCTCATAGTTGATGGAGAGGGATAAAGTCGTAGCCAGCTACACTTCATTTTTACAATAAAACAATGAGAGGTAACATTTTTCCAGGTATAAAAAAACTACAAAGTATTCGGTTTAAATGACTTATTCAGGACTGTATTAATAATGAATTTTAAAAAGTATTATTTTAATTGATTTAGAAGAAGTGATGATAACTTTTCAGGTAACCACAATTTCAGTTTTTGGAATGATCTATTGAATACAATATGAAGAATAATTATTAATATTTTAATATGATTATATTTTATATCATATGTATTACTGACTATTCATACTTTTACAGAAATGTACACATTTCTGATTTACAGGTTTTTTGCCTTATTGGCTATGTTCCATCAGTTATTCTTTTCACTTATATTGCTTCTTTCACCTTTAAGAAAATTTTAAATACCAAAGAATTTTGGTCATTTATATATTCTGTGGTAAGTCAAATTTTATATTATTTCAGTGTTTCATAGCAGATTGTTTTAAAGTCATGAACTCGTTCGTGATTACAGTAAAAAATATTACATGTCTTTTATAAGTGCATAATTGAGATGGAGAACTAGCAACATATTTTTATGTTTATCTTCCACATCATCCATTCAATGAAGGGATGATATTAAAAGCATTTAACAACTAGTGTGTGGTAAAGATACTAGCCACAAACAGTTAGTACTATGTGAACATGTTGATGTTTCCTGGCTAGTATAATCTCTGGCTCCATGTTTTATTAGATGATTAGAAACAAAGTTAATATCGAGGCCCCAGTTTATAATTAAGTTGTTTGTGTGAAGTTTTTAAACACTTACCACTTATTTTCTTATTTTTTTCTTTAGACAGCGTTGGCTTGTATAGCAATCACTGAAATAACTTTCTTTTTGGGATACAAAGTTACAGCTGTTTTTCATTATACCTTTTGCATAGTCATTCCAATCTACCCACTTTTAGGTTGCCTCATTTATTTCATAAAGGTGAGTTTTGAGGTATTTTGATATTTTAAAGCATAAATACATATTGCCTAATTTTTGAGATCTTAGTTTTTGTACTGAAAATAGTGAAATGCATCAGGTTAAGGTTAACTGCTGCTACTGGATAAACTATTCTTAATGCAACAACTAAAATAATTATTGTTAATGCAACAACTAAAAATAATAATTATCCAGTCAAATGTATCCAGTTATAAATTGTTAAAGTAGGACTGTGTCCATTAGATTTTCTTTGCTGCTCAAATGTTATACATGGTATATATAATTAGAAGTATAATCGAGTTTTAGTCAGTATATGATTTTAGAAGTTTTTAAAGGGTCAAATAATATATATAAAGGGATGAGAGAAAATAAAGTGTAAGAGCTTTTGTCCAAGAAAAAATAAGCAGATTTATTAAAATGCGTAATTGAAAGAAATTTCCATGTGATTAGAAAACAATTAGATTATGAATTCTTGATTTAGGATTGCTGATTATTTCTATTTACCATCCCTCCCTCTTTTTTTGCTTTCAGTTTAATATACTTAACTTATGCCTACTTACATAAAAGTATTTTAGAGCAAGGAAGATTTTTAATTTAAATACAGATAGCTTGTTAATATGAATAGCTAACCTATTCATAGAGAATACAGGTTTGCTGAACTATTTTTAGTTTGGTTTTTTTTTTGGTACTGGGGATCAAACTCGGGTCCTTCTGCTTGCGAGGCAGGTGGTGGAACCACTGAGCTAAATCCTCAGCCTGCTGAACTATTTTTAAAATTTAACTCTAAATGTTTCTACAAATGGAGTATATACATTTAAAAAATGTATTGTCTTAGGTTTCTTGGAAAAATGAAGATACCTACAATCCATGGGATAGGCTTTTAGTGGCAGTTATATCGGTAAGAAATAACAAAAAGCTTGTTTGTGTTAGTGTGTTAAGAATGATTTGGTTGTCTGGTTTTAACTAGGTTTAGATTTTATCCTGTTACATTAAAAAAAAAGTACATAAGAAGTCAAGTGTGTTAGTGCTAGCTAATCTGCATTTCAGTAGTAATGTGTCTACTTTTCCATTTACTGTGTCCACTTTAATGTACTTAGCATTTTAACATTATTAATTTTAATTAATTATATTTCTGACTCCCTTTGAGACAAAAACAAAGATTTTGTGTTTGGTTGTGTTTTATGAAACTGAAAATAAATGAGAATAACAGAGGTAGAAACATAATTATATTTGATGGCATGGTGGTGCATGTCTGTAACCACACCTGTTTGGTAGGCAGAGGCAAAAGGATCACAACTCCAAGGCCAGCCTCTGGAACTTAGTGAAACCCTGCCTCAGAGTTTAATGAAGGCATAGAGGTGTAGCTTAGTGGTAGAGTATTTGCCTAGCATGTGGAAGGCTTTCAATTTAATCCCCAATACTACCAGAAAAAAAGAAATCTTTAGTTTGTATTAAAATTTAGCCTGTGTGTAGCTTGGTTGTAGATCATGTACTTGAGTTAAACAAAGTAAAATAACAATATTATCTTTATCATGACAAGGATAAAGTGCAATTTTTCTTGGTAATGGTAAGGAACCTCATATACATGGTCTTAGTTTTGTTGCCAAAAGAAAAAAATAGAAACAAAATGACAATTCAGTCAGACTAAATCTTGTTCTTCTTTTAGCCCTACCTGCAGTGTGTACTGTGGATTTTCCTCTTACAGTACTATGAGAAAAAACATGGAGGAAGATCAATAAGAAAGGATCCCTTTTTCAGGTCAGTTAATTTTTTTTTGGTGAAGTTTCAGTGTTTTTAGTAAATTTGCATAGTTTAACCATCACTGTAACACCATTTTAAAGCAGTTCCATTATTCCAAAAACTTAACTTTGTACCTAATAACAGTTACTTCACTATTTCTTCTTCCATGCTTCTAACCCTAGGTAACCACCTGTCTGCTTTCTGTAAAGTTTGCTTATTCCGAATATTTCAGAATTATGCAATATGCAGTCTTTTTTCAGCGGGGGGGGGGAGTCTGGCTTCTTAGAATAATAATTTTCCTTTTTATGTTAATTTTTGTAAAATTAACAGTAATGTATGCAGTGAAATTGAAGTTTGTATCCTCATTATGATCATAATGCATACTCAATATTTGAAATGTCTATGTGAAGCATTTTAGAACTTTTTAAGAAAAGAAATAATAAAATATATTTTGAAAAACTTAAGCCAAAATACAGTGATGGCTTTCTTAAGTATTTTAAGTATATTTAACCTTTATGTTTACTTTTCACCTTAGTATGTACATTATTTTAATGCTAGAAAATCATTTATAAAATTGTTAGGATTTGGATAATAAATTGTGTACCAGTATCTTACATACATTTTTACACTTAGCATAATGTTTGGAAAGTTCATCATGTTGTCGCATTAGTAAAACATTATATTGTATTCCATACATTATGAATGTCCTCATCAAGTGAGTTATTTGCACTTTTGGCTCTTATAAATAATATTGCTATGAACATTTGTGTACAAATGTTTACGTAGACATATATTTTCACTTCCTTAGGTAGATTCCCTGGGAATAAGATTGCTGTGTCATATGGTAACTGTTTAGGGTTTTGAGGAGTGGCCAGACTGTTTTCCAGTGTGGTAGTATCACTTTATGTTCCTGCTTAGAATGTAAGAGCATTTTCTTTTCTTCACATCATTGCCAATACTTGTTACTGTTTGTCTTTTTAATTTTAGCCATTCTAGTAGGTGTGAAATGATATCTTATTATGGCTTTGATTTGCATTATCCTTGTGATTCTTGATGTTGAAAACCTTTTTACATATTTGTTGTCCATTTTTAGATCTGTGAAATATCTGTTCAGCTACTTTGAACATTTAGCAATGGGGTTATTTGTGTTTATATTATTAAGTTGTAAGTTTTTAAAATACATTTTTGAACAGACTTTTTTTTTTTTCGGATTGAACTCGGGTCCTTGCGCTTGCACAGCAGGTGGCGAAACCACTGAGCTAAATCCCCAGCTAAAAATACATTTTTGATATAAGTCCCTTATCCGGCTGTAGAGTTTTCAAGTGTTTTCTCCAAAGGTACACTTTGTTTTTACAGATTATTTTGAATTTAACGAATATCATTTATAAACTATAACTTGGTGTTTAATTAGCTCTGAATTTCTTCTTTATAGTTCTTACATGTTTATTTGCTGAATAGTAACATGTTATAAAAATCTCAAAAGTATAGATCAGTGGTAGCAAACCTGTGGCACACATGCCACAGCAAGCTCTTCGTTATCACTGAAAGCTCTAAAAGTTTCGCTCTCACTGGTGTAGATAAATATATAATGGTTATTAACCATTAGATAGTCTCGCATCATTTGAGGATTTTAATGTCTAGCTGTCCTTCTCCTTTATTTCTACTCAAACTTAAGGAGACTTCAGCATTCACGTAACCTTTCTAACACCTGAACCAGTTTCTGATTTTTCTCTAAACCGGTCACTGTTGCTTCTTTTCCACTTCACCCACTTACTTACATCAGAGCCACTCTATTCCTGCTCTTAACTTGATCTGTAAAATCTTAAGCTTCAGTGTCCAACTCTACAGGTAACTTTTCCTCTTCCCATGTCTTTCATTTTATTCGACCTAGTGGACTTTTTTTCCTGTAGTTTCATACCCTTGAATTTCTCCTGTTCTCCCCAGTGTTCCTATTTGTACTTTTTCCTCTGTCCTGTGTTGTTCGGATGATTCATCACATTAGCCTCCTTTCAGCACCCTCAGGTTCTGTGTTTCTTTGACTTGTTCTCTGAAAATCATAATTATTGGTGAATCTGATTATGTACTGGAGAAAAATAACTTGATAGTGCTACGTATTTATCCCAGATAAACTCAGCTGTGTTGATGCTGTTTGCTAGCCTATCATATTTTCCTAGTTAACTTATCTTCTTATCCCTTTCATTCAGTAGTTAATCCAAGCTTTCTTTGTAGTCTTCAAATTCCTAATATTACTTTACCTCACATCTTACTTCCCCATAAAAGATTTTGCCACCTGTCTCAGAACACAGAGGACTTAATTAAAAATTTCTACAAACTTATCTACATTTTCCATCTTTTTTGCCTTTTCCTTGTCTCAAAGAAAGAGATACCTCACCTGTTACCCTCATTTACTCCATATACTGAAGAATGTTGTTCAGTTTTCTCTGTATCTTTTCCTTAATTTTGGTAGAGGGATCATTTTTCTTCCATATTTTTTTTTCCAGCATCAGAGTTTGAACTTAGGACCTTACACTTGCGAGGCAGGTGCAGCACCACTGAGCTAAATCCCCAGCCCACTTTTCTCCCATAATTAAGAGAATCTGTAAATTTGAATATAAATCCATGTCTAACTCTTATACTACATCTCTGTCTTTCTTAGCCGGAAGCCTTCCACCTTCAGTTGTTTACTTCCCATTTAATTCTTCACTTCCTATATTCTGGTTTCCCTTTTATCTCTCTTGATGTTATTTTTAGTAAGATAGCTAATGATTTTATCATTGCCTTATCTAGTAGGCTCAATTTATTTAATCTGTAACCTGTAACATGATTGATGTTTCCCCCTTACATTCTGTTTTTCCTTTGTTCTCTGTAATGTCTCATTACCTGTTTGTCTTATTACTTCTTTTCCTGTTCAAAATTTCCTTTGCAAGCACTTCTTCCTTTGCCTAAAAATCATATTCCTATAGGTTCTGACTTCAGCCCTCTTTTCTTTCTGACAATTTCATTAATATTCAGGCTATAACTTCTTTAAAGACAGCAACCATTGTTTTTCGTCTCTATGTGAAATAATACCTGACATACCAATCATAAAAAAATGTTGAATAAATGAGTGACTTTAGATAACATTCTTTAACAGTGAAAAAATATCAGTTGTAATTCTACTTGTTAGAGATAACCCTAGATCTGCTGCTTTATAAAATCTTTTTGCTATGTAGTGACTGTATTCTTTACTGTTTTAATTATGTGAAAATCTACTATCTATATACTTAGGACCCTTTCAACAAAGTCCAAAAATAAGAAGTTTCTAGAACCACCAAACAATGAGGATGAAGATGACGATGTCAAAGCCGAAAGAATAAAGGTCAAAGAGCTGATGAGTTGCCAGTGTTGTGAGGAGGTAATTTACTCTTTATGTATAAGTCATATTAAACATGAAATGATAAGTCCCCAGTGTATAGTAATTAATGTAAAAAAGGATTTTTCTTTGCATCTGAATCAGTCAAAAAATCTTTCATGAGGCCGGGGATTTAGCTCAGTGATTTCGTCGCCTGCTGCACAAGCGGACCCGAGTTCAATCCCCAGTACCAAAAAAAAAAATCTTTCATTAGAAAAATATTTTTGTCAACTTGTTTTTAAATAAGCCATGATTTCAGTCATAAGTGGAAATTTATTTGTGCACTACCCCCTTAGCAAATACAATATAGACATAAGGTATGTTCAGCCTATTGTGAAATGACATGTATTTTTTTTTATAACTCTCTTTTCAATCCCATTGCACTTATTAGAAACCAGCCATTATGGTAAACAATTTGCATAAAGAGTATGATGACAAGAAAGATTTTCTTCATTCAAGAAAAATAAAGAAAGTGGCAACTAAATACACCTCTTTCTGTGTGAAAAAAGGTTGCTGTTTATTTTTTTCTTAAATAACTTTTCCAGAAGAGTAATTTCCGTTTTCAGTTTGATTTGAATATGATGATCTTTTCCTTTCAATTTCTTTAGGAGAAATCTTGGGACTTTTGGGTCCAAATGGTGCAGGCAAAAGCACTATTATTAATATTCTGGTTGGTGACATCAACCCAACTTCAGGCCAGGTATGATATATAAGAGTAGGGGATATGTTGAATATCATTTATATTTTTAATTAAGATAATTTAATGACAAATTAGTATTTTGATGCTCAAACTTTTGTTTTTAGAACTTTTAGGATAGCCTAATGAAATTATCTTTCTGATCATCTCTGAAAATAATATACATAGTGAAATGTTCATACACACATAAGACATTCCTTGTTTAACAACCAAAATCTGATACTGAAACTAGGTCATTAAATGAATCAGTTGCTAAATGAGGAATTATATATAGTATACGCATTACAATATGCAGAACGAAGAAAACTCCAACTCGGTGACTTTGCTTTTATTTACGTAACTGTTACATGCATTACTGTATTGTACAACAAAACATAAAACTACAGAACTGTACTGTACAGTACAATCAGCAAAAATTATAACACTATATAAACAAAGTATACTGTACAAAGAAAAGACATTGAGGCTCTGTAAACAAGATATACAGAACTATACAATTTAAAAAAATGGGGCCAGGGATTTAGCTCAGTGGTTCATCACCTGCCTTGCAAGTGCAAGGTCTCAAGTTCGATCCTCGGTACCAAAAAAAAAAAAAATGAGTTTTAAGTCTAAAATTCATTAAACAGGTAGGTTGTTAAAAGAGGAATATCTATACAGTATTTTTGCCATGGTAATTATTACATGCCTGGGTGATTTATTCACCTGCTTAATGGAAGCTGGTTGTTATTAAGTTCAGGAGTTAAAAGAACAAGTCTTGGCCTTCTAATCAATTAGTTTTCAGTGATGAGCATGTCACTAACACTTGGTGGAAGCTTCACAAAATTATCCTAGTCCTGTTTTCTGTTTCTCTTCCCTCTTACTTACTCACATAAGCTATATTGATTTTCTGTTTTCCTGGGAAATACCTGGCATCAGCTTTTCTTTGGGTTTTTCTCTGAGCTGTTTCCTGTGTAGCTATACCTATTTCCTAGAAATTCAGTTGACTAAATTCCCTTAAATTCTTGGCTCACACCTTCCAGTGAGGCCCCTAATTTTTGTAGTTAAAATTGTAGCTTGGTTTCCTGCCTAACCTTGCAATATAATCCCTCTTTCCAGCTGTGTCAGCAACCTCCAGCTTAGCTATCTGTATCCCTCCAGCATCAAAAAGCAGTAAAAATTGACCTGACAACACTTCTGCTATACACAGGGGTTTGAATCTACTTCCTGCTTTCTTCACAATATAAATTAAGCAAAAATACTTACTAAAAATTGGTTTGTGTTTCTGTAGGTATTTCTAGGAGATTATCTGTCAGATGCAACTGAAGAGGATGACTCTGTTAAGTGTATGGGTTACTGTCCTCAGATAAACCCACTGTGGCCAGATATTACATTGCAAGAACATTTTGAAATTTACGGAGCTGTGAAAGGAATGAGTACAAGTGACACAAAAGAAGTAATGAGTCGGTAAAACAACAGTCTTTAGGTGTCTTTTATTACTTGGGGAAAGGCTTACATTTCACAATTTTACAGTTTTGTAACAGGTGTTGCTGTGGACCATAATTTTCATAAAAGTGATCTTTTTCATGTATTCTCAATGCAATGATCAATGACATTGTTTTTTCTAGAACAATCACACTGTTGACTAACTGTTCTAGAAAAAACAATGCCATTGATCAACACGATTTATACTTATATTTATACATATCATGGTACACTCATTTTGTATTGTTCATTTTGCAGAATCATAAATGCACTTGATTTAAAAGAACATCTTCAGAAAACTATAAAGAAACTACCTGCCGGCATCAAGCGAAAGGTACTTTTGTTAAACAATGAATATATCTATTTCGTTGATAGGTTAGTACCTGTTATTTTGATAGAATTCCTTATAGTGAAGGATCATTAGTACACCTACCCTCTTTTTCTTTTTGTCTAGTTATGTTTTGCTCTAAGTATGCTGGGGAATCCTCAGATTACTCTGCTAGATGAACCATCTACAGGTATGGATCCCAAAGCCAAACGGCACCTGTGGTGAGTATGACACTAAAGACAACTGAGACATAATTACATTGCATCATATTTTAGAATAATAAATAATTTTTCATTATAGCTAATAGTGTTAGTGATATGTACATCTTGATTTAAAAATCCCATATAAATGATAAAATAGTATTAAAATTAAACAATTAGATTTCTAGATTTCTTTAACCTTTTTAGAGTTTATCATATTTTTCTTAAAGTGTTTATAATATTTTATATATAAAAAGATACAGTGTATAAAAGTTCTGTTGTCTGAATAGTTTTCTTTCTCTTGTATTGGGGATTAAACCTAGGGCCTTGCACATGGTAGACAAGTACTTTACCTCTGTGTTACATCCCCAACCCTTCTTAAAATTTTTTATTTTGAAACATGGCCCAAACTGGCCTAAACTTGCAATCCACCTGCCTCACATTCCCAAGTAGATGAAATTATAGGCATGTGCTTCTGTGCCTTGCTGTCTGACGTTTTCAGGCTTTTTTCATAGATATTTAACATATAAATTATCTTTCTCATAGTAATATTGTCTTAAATTTATGTTGCAACTTTTGCTCCTGATTTAAAGTATTAATTAGTTAAACAATTCTGTGAGCCTTGATTTCCATGTCTGTAGAATGTAAGGTTTAGTACAGATTCGTGTTTAGGTTTCCTTAAGATTCTGTGGTATTTGGGGCTGGGGATTTAGTTCAGTGGCACCGTGCCTGCCTCTCAAGCGCAAGGTCCTGAATTCGGTCCCTGGTACAGAAGAAAAAAAAAGATTCTATGGTATTTTTCTTTTAACAGTAAAAGGCATCCGTTTTTATAATTCATTTGTTATTATGTGTTTAACCCATATAAACATTTGAAGTCATGAGATTTCTTTCTACTTAACAAGCTCTCAAAAGTAAGGGAAAACAAGCTCTCAAAAGTAAGGGAAAATAAATTAGTATAGAAAAATCATAGTTGGGCAAGTTATAATGGCTACAGACATTGAATATTTGGTAAGTTTTAATCAAATTACTTAAATTTTTATATTAAAAAACCATTATTTTCATTAACAAACATATTGCTTTTTAAAGTTATATGTATGTTTTATAGGCGAGCAATTCGAACCGCATTTAAAAACAAAAAGAGGGCGGCTATTCTGACCACACATTACATGGAGGAGGCAGAAGCTGTTTGTGACCGAGTGGCCATTATGGTAGCAGGCCAATTAAGGTAGATAAATCTCAGCAGCATGCTTATTAGGGGAGAAGAGTGGGTAGATTTTGAATGTTCTCTTTTCAAAAACATATGGTTATACGTATTAATTTAAATGTTAAAAAAATTTCTTTGAATTTTGGATCAGTTTTCTATAAGATTATTTGGAAATATGTTAATTTTTCCCCCAAAATATGACTGGCTATTTGCATTTGGAATTGGCTTAATTGTTCAGTAACTTACAATGTTATTTTCAGGCAATAATATTTGTTATTTGAAAAAAATCATTAACTGGTGTATTAGATTATAACACAAAGTATAAAATAAACACATGAGTTCATATTGCATGCATAAATGATTGGATATATAAATAAATATAGGAGGAGAAACAAATCTTCCTTACAGAATGATTCCAAATCATATATGTGGATAAACCCATACCCCCAGTCTAATCCTGAGAAAAACATTAGACATAACACATTGAAAGACAGTCTATCAAAACATTAGACCAGTACAGTGGTCATGAGGAAAGAGTAAGAAATTCTCTCTGAGCGTTAAGAGTCTGAGAAGACATGACAACTAAACACAGTGTGGAACAGAAACAGTCTTGGAACAAAAACAGTACTATGTGGAAAACTGGCGAACCTAAAGTCTGGAGTTTAGTTTATACTAATGTAATTAATGTTGGTTTCATGATTTTGACAAATGTACCATGGGAACATAAGATGAAAGTATTAGGAGGCTGGGCATGGTTGTGCAGGCCTGTAATCTCAGCACCAGGGAGGCTGAGGCAGGAGGATCGCCCTGAGTTTGAGGATAGCCTGAACTCTATAGCAAGACCTTGTCTCCAAAAAAAAAAGTATTAGGGAAGCTGAAATTGGAGGGTAAGGAGTGTATGAAGATGTTATCTTATGGTGATAAGTTTTCTGTAAGTGTAAAAATATCAACTCAAAATGGTAGATATTTAAGTGGTAATTTGTTCTTTGAAACTGGCAGGCTTTTATATCTCATTTTTCTTTTAAAAATTACTTTAGGTGTATTGGGACAGTACAACATCTAAAGAGTAAATTTGGAAGAGGCTACTTTTTGGAAATTAAGTTAAAGGACTGGATAGAAAACCTAGAGATAGACCACCTTCAAAGAGAAATTGAATATATATTCCCAAATGCAAGCCGTCAGGAAAGGTAAAATTTAAAATGTAATTACATTTTTATAGAGTAATTATCATAAAAGATTATGTTAAGAACTAGGAAAAACATCCCCTTTAGTCAATGTTATATGTATACTTCTACTATAACTTATAGACATGTTAATATCTATATTATCCCCAGTACTGGATTAATGAAATCCAATGTTATGTCTTTTAATATTTCATAGTATTTATTTATATATTTTTGCAGTACTGGAGACTGAAAGGAACTCACATGCTAGGCAAGCTCTCTGCCACTGAGCTGTTTCCCCAGCCCTTGTATTTAAACTTTTTATGGTTCATATTTAGTAGTAATAATAGTTACTTTATTGTACATGATGATCATTTCAAACAATTTTATCAAAGTATTTTATTTTTATAAAAATAATTAGTTTAATTTTGAATTTAAAAATTTTAAACTTTAGCCTTATAACACGATGATAGTAATTTTTGAATTGTCCCAAATTTATCTTGTTTTCAGTTTTTCTTCTATTTTGGCTTATAAAATTCCTAAGGAAGATGTTCAGTCTCTTTCAACAGCTTTTTCTAAGCTGGAAGAAGGTGAGTAGTATTTGAAAAACATTGTAAGGTAGCTCTCAAATTATTAAAGAATTTTATTTAAAAAGTTTAGAACTGAGGAGTCAGTTTATTGTAGAAACTCTGGAAAATAAGTAGATAATCTTAAGATACAGATAAATAAAAACACCATAGGGATTTTGTAGAAAAACTGTGATGTGGTATAAACCTTTTAGAATTTAGTGGGCATTGCCGTAGCTTTCACATTGCAGCTGTAGAAATGATTAGCTTTCTCTAAGCAGTTTAGTCCAGCAGTCAGAAGATTGTGTTTCTTGAACCCTTCCTTTCTGCTGGATCATAGAAGTAGAAATGGTATCAAGACTCTAGTGATGGTAGGACAGGATTCACTGTGGAGGTTGGACACTCCTCAGAGTTTTAAAGAAGCTGATTGAATTTCAGCATTTAAAAAATAAGTGATGGATAGGATAAATAAATGCTGGTGGCAGTAGGAAGAAATAAATTCTTGGATTGGGTAAATGTTCACATAGAATTATTTTATGATATTTTAAAACTGAAACAGTCCACATTTATGAATAAGATTTATCATTAATACCTTTCAAAATGAATATAGATTTGTTATGATTATTTTTATATGAATGCTGCATACGAAAAGATTTCCTTATACCCCCATAGCCCCATAAAAGCTATGAATTAATGTTTTTTAGCCTAGGCACACTAATTATTTTAATGTATAGTATCTTTTAGTATTTTTACATATCATATCTATTAGGTATAATATCATATAAAAAGATAAAAATTCTGCTTTCCTCATGATTTTATGATTAAAAAATACCTGAACTACTCAGAATTAAATGAATCAGTATAATAGCAGACATTTGGTATTAAATTAGATTGCAAAAGGATCTGAAATATAGAAACACTTACGGAGATAAGATCAGTATTCCGAATGTACTTTATAAGAGGCAAGAACAGGCGTTAGTGGAGTTGAGGAATGGGAGATACAGAGCAGGTATCAAAGGAGAACATGAAAAAAAAAGAAAAGAATAACCAGGAAGAAGATAAAGGAGGGAACGAGGAAGTAACTTAGAGAAAGTAGCAATAAATCTAATGTATATAGGACTATAGAGGAATTGTGGGCCTGGGAAAGAGAAAGGAAGTAAGACAGGAAAATAAGATGTTTTTGCAGCTTCAAGTTTCAATGAGTTGTTTACCAGGGTCTTTTAAACATATATTGTTAGCTAACTTAGTAGTTACTACCCTTTCAATAATTTTAAAACACTGATAACTAAAACATTGTTTTTATATTTTAATAGCCAAACATACTTTTGCAATTGAAGAATATAGCTTTTCTCAGGCAACATTGGAACAGGTACTATAAAGTTAAATTTTATTTAATTTTTTTTTTGGTTTTTTTGGTACCGGGCATCAAACTCGGGGCCTTTAGCATGTGCAGCAGGTGGCGAAACCACTGAGCTAAATCCCTGGCCTAATAAAGTTAAATTTTAAAATATTATTTTATAGTGGAAAGTATTTAATAGCAATTATTTGTGTTTATATTGGAGAGAAATTATGTTATTATAGAATACTTATAAAATAATCTTGTTTTTAAGACAGGATCTTGCTGTGTAGTTCAGGCTGCACTTAATTTAATGTAGTGACTGTGTAGCCCATACTGGCCTTGAACTCACGGTGATCCTCCTGCTTCAGCCTCTCAAAGGCTGGGATTACAGGCATGTACCACCACACCTAGCTGCTATTACAGCATAATCTTAAACTGTGTGTAACTTTAAAGAAATTTAAGTTCTTCATCTGCTTTGTTTTTTCAGCTTTTTATTTTAAAGAGTGTTTTTTGTTGACAAATCATTTTGCATGTATGCAGTATGGAATAATTAAACTAACTTCAAATTGCTTATTTTAAGTAGCTCAGTTTTTTAGTTTGGTAAAGAAACTGAGTCATGATGATGGCATTTCATATTAAGATATCTGAAATTGTTTAAATATTTATAAATTATTTTTATGGCAGTGCTACTTAATAAGTTAGCAAATAATTTATTAATCCTCCAAAGTAGCAGTCATTTTTGCATGTAGTTAATGGAGATAATTTATTTTGTTTGAGTAGTATTAATATAATCTCTTTTGGTACTTGTTAATATAATTAGAAATGGCCTTATACCATTTTCTGATTTAGTTTAAAGTTCTCTGATATAGAATACTTCATTAATTTATTTTCTTTTGTCCAGGTTTTTGTAGAACTCACCAAAGAACAAGAGGAAGAAGATAATAGTTGTGGAACTTTAAATAGCACACTGTGGTGGGAAAGAACACAGGAAGACAGAGTAGTATTTTGAATTTTTATTGTTCAGTCTGCTTACTGAATTTATTTTTCACTTTAACTTTGGTTTTAAAACTTTATTCTTTGATAGTAACTGGAGAAACATGAAAGCACATAAGATTTTCCCAAGCTCCTTAATTGAAACGCTGCTGTGGCAAGTTTTACTTTTCTTTAAATAAACTCATGTATAAATTGTCACCATGCATGAATGTAAAGTATAGTGACCTATAGTATGTCATACTTTTCACCATTCAAAAGGAGTGCTTCTGAATTTATGATTTGAAGAAATAGTGATAGAGTGATTTTGTTTTGAATAGTTATCATTATTTTTAAGTTTGTACCATCTTGTTAAACAATTATGTAATGTCCCAATCTAAATAAAAAGACTAATACATAACTAATTCATAGAAAATAGACATAAGGCATTATCAAAGTTTTTTGCTTCTCCTTTTCGACTTCTAAAAGAAACTTGAATGAAAATTGTCATCTTTAAATGCTAAAACATAAACACTAGGAAGTCTCAATGTAGAGCGTGAGTGAAGACTCATCCACTAGGTGGCAGTCTTCAGTCATAGTAAATGAAATGAGACCTTGTTCCAGGAAATGACTGCACATGTAATTGGTTAGGTATTTGAAGTTACCTTTCTTTTGCTTACAGTAAAATCCAGAAGTGTTTTAGTTATTATAATTGTAGGAAGACTGTAGTCTTATCATGTAATAGTCTGATTCTTCTGTGGCTAGAATGACTGCTTGAAAAAGGCACATTTAATTTTATTGTTGGTTAAAATAATTTGTTGAGTAATTGCTTCTATTGGCAAACCTTATTATTTGTATCTTTTATGAGTAGATCAGAAAATAAATTAATCTACTAAATCTACAGTTATTTAGTAACTTACCTCATAATCACTTGGTACGTGGTGGATATAAATAGACACAGGATTTAAATTAAGGATAAAAATGGAGCATACTTAATTCTCCTTGGTAAGAACCAGAACTTCACTCTCACAAGAGTTGAGGTAAGGTATGGGCAGTGTAATTTTAGAAATACTTATATAACCCTTATGTGGACTACAGATAAAAAATAGAATAATCTATATGAACCTATATTTGAGCAAGATGTATGAAAGTATTAGCTTTGCAAAATAAATATATATTAGGAGAATGGTTATTATATTATAGAAAATTAAAGAACAACAATAGAATGAGTTACTTTAAATAGATTTAGAAGTTATTCTTTAATGTAGGTAAGATTTAGTAAACTTTTAGCCCTACTGTATAATACAACATCTGTGATTTTAGGCTGCAGCAGCTGTTTTAAAATAGGATTTCATTCTTTGTTGAAGGGACTGATAACTTTCCTCCATTGCTTTGCAATTGCTGTACACATTTCTAAAGATACCTACTTGACCAGCTAACTCAGAAGTCCTGTAACTAATCTAAATGTGCTGTTTTACAAGTCTGCTTAGATTTTACAACCCAGAGCTAAGTTCTTCTCCATGTTAGATTGACTTGGCAGTGGTACACTTTTATATCCAGCTAGTCACTACTGCATGATGAGTACAGTCAAGACATATTTGAGAGAAAATCTTTACCTTTGTAGATAAATTAATAAATAGCACACTGTTTTATAAGCAAGTCTTTGCTAAATGGTGCCGCAAATTTGAAGAGATATTTTCTTTCTTATTTAATACTCATATAAGTACCCAGAGGCCTTTCTTTCGGAATGTGATTTTGTAACTATGTGTAACTTTGAACACTTACACTCAATATAAGGAACAAAACTGTATAATTTTTGTTTACTAGGGCAGTCAATATAAAGGCAGGTTTTTTTTTTTTAAGAATTTGACCATTTAAGAAAGATATGTTACTTTAAAATAGACCAACACTAACATAGAACATAGATTTGGTTACTTTCACTTTACATTTGAGATTGAGATTATGCTGACCAATCATATTCTTATCCATTGTTTATTTAGTTATTTTCCTGTTATTATAAATGAACTCATGCTCTTATAAGTATTTGTTAAAGATATTTGAATTAATTTTTTTTAATTTTTGCACACAGTGAATTTATTTTGGTCACAAATTATTTGTAGGAATATTGTGTTCATTTTTTCACAGTAACAAAATCTTTGACTCAGGAGAAATATAATTTAATTCTTAGGAAAGCAAGGGTAAGCAAACTGGAAAGAAAAGGAGACAGAAAATCAAGTAAAAAATTTACCATTATTAGTATATAGTTCATCTTGTGCACATATACATTTCTTTTTTTTTTTTGGTACCTGGGTTTTGCACATATATTTTAAGCTGTCTTAAATTACTGATCTCAGAACTTTTTTCCATGTTAGTACATGGAAATAAAAATACATATGCTTGGCCAAAGATGGATAAAACAGCATCATCCATCTATCTTATGTTTTCCATAAATGATCAAATTTTAAAACTCGAATAGAGGCCAGGCTTTACTGAGTGACTGTGGTTACTGAGAAATAAGGCAAAACTCTGTTTGCAGCAATGAGGAAATAATCAGTTGGTAACTGAAAATATGACTGTACTTGGCATTACATTTTGCCAGCTCTTTATTTTTTTCAATTTTCAGTAAAACGCTTTGAGTTTTCTTTAAAAGCATTTTTTCTTTTAAATTAGTAAAATTGTCTTAAGTCAGTCTTTTGATTTTCATAATTAAAATATTTTTGCAGTAATTTAATTCAATGGACATTTTAACTACTGTTGCCAGCTCTAAGTTCTTTGTATAGAAAGGTGACTGTCACTTTTGGCCCCCTAAGATTTTGTAATCTAGTAGAAAGAAAATAGGTATTTATATAACTAGCTATAATGAATAATGCTTTACTGGTAGAAATAATAGTGTTTTATTGCTATCATGTTAGTCATTCAACATTTCATTCTGATTGTGTTTTGAATTTAAAATACTACCCTGTATTTTCATGTAACATATTCAAATAGGCATTAATTTTTGAAAAGCAGAAATGTTATTCTAAATGTATTTTTTATATTGCTAATATTGATTTTTCATTTCCTTTCTTGAAATAGCATATTACATAAAATGAAAGAATTTATTCTCAGGTTATTTTTGTATCAGCTATTCTTATAAGGTAAAAATTTACTTATTTTTTATTCATAATGTGTTATGTGTAATTCTCAGTGCTGCCCTTAGAAAAATGAATGTGTGTATAATTATCAAAAATAAGCTTTAAGAGCTGAAAATTTGACGAATTATTTTGTATACTGAAATGGAGTCTTTGTTATTTAGTGTTGATAATTGAATGAGTGGCTCATATTAAAATTGAAGCAAGAACTTGGCACTAAAATTGTTAGTATTTTTTTTAAGCATCTGAGGGGAGATTTGCAGTACAGGAGGAACATTAGCAGTAATTTTGTTTCAGTTATTCAGATTTTAAACTTGAACTAGGTATGTGTATAGATCTTTTAATCTTATGTGTTTTGTAGAAATAGAAAGCAGTCACTGACATTTTATCACATTTAACAGGCTAAATTATCCCCATATATTTCACATTACATGCGTAGTTTATGTGTTCCTTTAGAATTTTTAAATGAAGTTGAGCCAGGTGTAGTTGTACATGCTTCTGACCCCAGCTCTTGGGAAGCTGAGGCAGGAGGATTACTAGGACAGCCTGAACTACAAGGCAAGACTCAAAAAAACCAAAAAGAAAAAAATAGTTGATTCTTTTAAACACTTAGGAAATACTTTAATTCTTTTTTTTGGTGTTACTTGGAATTGAACATAGGACTTTGCACTGAGCTACATCCCTACCCATTTTTTATTTTGAGACAGGGTCTCACTAAGTTGGGCAGGCAGGGCTTGAACTCGCAGTTTTCCTCATCCTCCTGAGGAGCTGGGATCACACACCCCTGCACCTGAACAACTCTTGGAAATCAGGGTCCTAGTCAGAGTAAGGAAGCCTGAAAACTTATTGAGAGTCACTGGACCAATGAATTAGCTGTTAAGGAACTGAAAATGCAAATTGTAAAATTCACTGGACCAGGTGATTGTCTCAGGGAAGCCCTTGTGGAGAATAAAAAGACAAATTTGATTGTTTTTTGTTTTTTTGGTACCTGAGATCAAACTTGGGACCTTGTGCTCATGAGGCAGGTGGCGGCACCACTGAGCTAAATCCCTGACCCCAAAAAGACAACTTTGAAACCAAAGCCATTGCTTCAAAACTTGGTAATGTAGAAAATAAACCACACAATTGAAAAGTTCTGTAAAAACAGTATCACAGACTCAGAAGACCACCAAAATCTTGAAATACGGTATTTTATTAATTTCTCTGCACCAGCAGCAGAGTGCTCAAGTTTGGAAACTTGAGTCATTCCAAACCCTTTGTTTGTACATAGAATAGCTCATTGTTGCTGGCTGTAATTGATACTGTAATGAGCCATCTGCATTCCTTTTTTGGAACAAAAGATTGTTTTTTCTCCAGCTATGAGAGAATTACCAGGAAGCAGTCCTCATCTGTTTATTCCCTAGGACAGTCTTAGGAAACTAATATAACCCCCCTTTCAGAATCTGCTCCTGTTTACCTTCCTTTTGGCTATCAGGTCAAAAACAAGGGATAGGTCATAAAATAACTTGGCCAAATCCATGTTGTTACTGAGAGAAGAAAGGAGCTGTACACATAACAAGTTCAGGACTACCCATATCTACTCACAGGAGCTAGGATAATATGCTTGGAACTGGATTCTGAGAGTGATGAAGTGATGCAGAACATGTATTCTGGGAGGCTGAGGCAGGAGAATCACAAGTTTACGCTCATCGTGGCTAACCTAGTGACTTATGAGACCTTGTCTTAAAAAAATTTTTAAAGATCAGTGCAAAGGCCCTGGGTTCAATCCCCATTAACCCCCCTCCAAAAAAAAGTAGTGCAGAATTGGGTAGGTGTTTATATATTTGAAGGCAGTCAGTTCTGACATGCTGGAATTTTAACCCCGTGGCAGGAAACCAAGAGCTGGTGTGAGAACACTGCATCCACAAAGCAACGGCCCATGCAGTGTCACCTGTGAATGTTGAAAATCTGCAGTATGTGATGGCACAAAGGATGAAGAACTTGGAAAATTGAGTGGGCATGCTTGGATGGGTGTGCTGCATGAGGCCAGGAAACAGTAGATGATGAAAATTAAAGCAACAAGGAATGCCCTAGTGAGAAAACCATCACTTAATTGGTGGTGAGCTGATCCTATGAGAGATCCTATCCCTGTGAGCTGATCTCATTACATCATGAGCAGTGGCATTACAGTGTTTGGCTGTCAGAACAATGGGAATGATAAAATCCTGATTAATTGAGCAGAGGTGGCAGCATTTAAACATCAGAAATCACACAGACCCAACTACGGTAGTGAACAACGAGAAGTATAAAACTTTGGGCACATAATAACTCTCCCCAGAGTCTTGCATGGAGAGACTCAAAGTATCTATGGTGTCTAGCAGAATAAGGCCACATCATTAAGGTTAATCTCTGGTTGCAGTAAAATGCTTATCTGAGAAAACTCAATGCTGCCAGGAAAGAGTATCTATTGAAACTCAAGTTTCTCTCTCAAGGTCCTGAGAGCCATTCTTTCTTTTCCCTTTTTTTTTATTAGTGTATATTAGTGATATAGAGTAATGAGATTTGTTTTTGTATATTGGCACATGAATATAGCATTTTGATGATTTTTATCCCTATCACCTCCCTAATCCTCTTTCCCCTCCCTTTAAGATTTCATACCTTGTCTCTAAAAGTCTACCTTCTAGTTTCCTGTCATCTCTCCCTTATTTTATTTATTTTTGGATTGTTCATACAAGACAAAACATGCAGTATTTAACTTATGAGCCTGGTTTATTTTGTATAACACAACGGTCTCCATTTCCATCTATTTTCTTGTAAATGACATGATTTTTTTCTACTTTATGACTAATATGCCATTTTGTGTATACCCCACATTTCTTTATCCATTCATCTGTTGATGGACATCTAGGCTATTCACTAGCTTAATGATTGTAAATTGTTCTATGAGAAACATGGCTATGGTATACTATCTTTAATTCTTCAGGGAATATACTGAAAGTGGTATAGCTGAGCCATTCTTTTTAAGTATAATTATCAAGAAGGTAAGGCCTCTGTCTCCCAGGTTCTGGGAGGATAGAATCCTAACTTGATAATTGCTAGCTCCCTTAGTCACATTTATATTAATCAACTCTGTACATTTTGATATCTCTAGCATAGACTGTTCACAGTAAATCCGCTAGTTTATAGATCTACTGGGTCTTTCTGTCTCTAGTCTCAAAATTTGTGATTGTAATAGACATACATAAGAGTTGGCACAATTCTCATACTCTTTTCTTGGACTGTGGGGTATGAATTACAGTGGACATATTAGTTTTCTAAGGCTGTTGTATCAGCACTGCAGATTGAGTGGCTTAATACCACAGAAATTTATTCTCTTAAATTCTGGAGGCCAGAAGTTCAGTCAGGTTGTCAGCAGGATTGTTTCCTTTCTGGGGACTAAATATAGAATAAGTTTCTTGATTCTTTTTTAGTTTCTGGTAGTTGCTGGAAATCCTTGATATTCCCAGCTTGCAGCTGCCTGACTCCAATCTCGTTGCATGGCCATGTTCCTGTAATTCTGTCTTGGTGTCTCTTTTCTTCTAAGGTTGCCAGTCATTTTGAATTTAGGGCATGTTCTATTTTAATAAGACAATCTTAACTACATCTGCTAAGACAATATTTCCAAGTCAGGTCTACATTCTGAGGTTTCAGTTAGGACATCAGTTTTTCTGTGTAGTGCTAAGGATTGAACCCAGGGTCTTTTATGTTCTAGACAAACACTGTACCACTGAGCTATGCCCTTAATCCTTAGGACATGGATTTGGGGGCATACTATTCAACCCAGCACAGAGGGAAAGTTGCCCCCCCCAACAAAGATAGGAAGTGACACATTTAATTTTGAGAAAGAATGGGGAAGTATGGAAAAAAATAGCCTCACCCTTAAAAACCTAGTGGTATCAAGTGAGAATTGGTGTTTATCATATATCCATTTTAATGTACTAACTAATCTTGCCCCTGCAAAAATCAGATTCTGGAGGAGGACAATAATCTATAGCAGTCTAAACCAACTAGTAGCTCCAGTTGAATACCTTCACCAGATGGGCTATCTTTGTAAGAGCAGGTTAAGAGCAGGTTTTCTCACATGGCACTCAATCACTGACTGAGAAAACAACTCTTTTTTTCCAGGAGAATCAGAAACTCTTGAGCTGGACATAGTGGTGCACACTGCAATCCCAACACTTGAGTGGCTGAGGCAGGAGAATCAAAGTTTGAGCTCAGCCAGAGCAACTTAGTAAGTGAGACCTTTTCTCAAAATAAAAACTAAGAAAGACCTGGGGATGCAGCTCAATCTGAAGACACTGAGTTCAATCCCTAGTACAGCATCCAAAATCCACTGTTTGGCATTAATTTTGGAAGGAACAAAAGCATACATTTAATTCTTGCCCTTAGATTAGATTTAAAGTTTCCTACCCCCTTTCAGTATATTCCAGTAGACCTGGATCAGCTGGATATCTCACAGAACATTAGAGTGCTCCACTGTATTGATGTCATGGATGCCATGAGCAAGAAGTGGCTAATATATTAGAGGCCTTGGTTAAGATACTGTGCTGCAGGGGCCAGGGATTTAGCTCAGTGCCTGCCACCTGCCTGCCTCGCAAGTGCAAGGTCCCGAATTTGATCCCCAGTACCCCACCCCCCAAAAGATATTGTGCTGCGAAGGAAATGTATCGAAATCTAAAACAAATACTATTCTGCTGGAGAATAAAACCTTTTACTGTCTCTCCTTTGATGTCCAAAGTATATTAGATTTCTACTTAGAAAATCTTTTCCACCAAAATGATTTATGATTATTTAATACTGGGTATCATCATGTTGGCATTATTTTGGACATGATAATTTTTGTTGTGGGGGACTGTCTTGTATAGTGTAGAATATTTCTGGAATTCCTGGCCCTCTTCCCACTAGATGACAGTATCACCCTCTCCCCAAATGACGAAGTTTTTTGCCAAATATCTCAAGCAGGGAGAGGCAAAATTGTGTCCATTTGAGATTACTGATTTAATGCATGGATTTATCACAATGTGTCAGTGGAAAGGTTGTCTTTAACACATTTTGTTGTTTTTCTATGCATAAGTAATGTTTTATGTCCTATGCTCACAGGGAAGTGGGTTCTTGATTCTGGTTCACTTAAACTGAGATAGTAGAGAATTTTTTTAGTTTTAGATTTTAAATAAGTATATTCTATCAGAGTTTGATAG